TTACCTAATTTAACTGAGTAAGTAGCTGTTGAATATATACATAAATATGAGGTAAATTTTACCCAATTTCTTTAAGTATTTCATATATTTTTTGTTCAGTTATTTTATACTTAATATATGTTACTAAATTTACCACAAAAGAGTGGATGCAAATTGTTACCTCAGATTTATTAGGTAAATTCTATAGCTTACTTTTTTCAGTGTGGCTTTTAATGATGCATTAGAGTTTTATTTAAAAAGCCCAAATGGACCAGTGCAAGTGACCTGTTTGTATCTGATAGTGTCACTATTTGTTTTAAGAAATCTCAAATGTATTTTATTTTATTTTTACAATTAAACGAGTCGAATAATAGAATTATCCTATTGTTCTCTAACTTTCATATATTACAGTGAGATATACTTCTGTATTTGGGAAACAGTGGTATGACTGCCTCTTGAATGGTTACGGGTCTTTTTATGAGTTTTTTTTTATTGTTTATATTATTGATCGTTTCTTATGTGATTTAGACTCTGAGTCTGCAGTTAATTAACTAACTAATTAAGTCAGTCAGCATAAAACTTATAATGGATCAGTAGCCTTCACCAAACCACCAACATTCAGTTTCAGGCTCTTACCTTTACTGTGGTTGTAGCAGAAAGTTCACCAGAATCTGTTGCCTTCACCTCCATTGAGACGGTTTTTCCACCCAGATCTGCTACTGACACCACATACAGCAGACCTGAAGCCGGTTCCACGTCAAAGGAGGAGCTTTCTCCTGACAGACTGTAGACCAGAACACAATTGTCTCTGACATCAGGGTCTGAGGCCTGAGGGTGGGCAGAAAGAAAATTCGTTAATGGTGCTGCAGATTATGTGTTCAGATGAGGCTTTGTTTGTCAGGTTAAAAGTACCTCTAGAAAATAACAACCTTATTTTCAATAGGTTGACTATAGAAATTATTCTTCTGTATTAAAACCTCTTCTCCTTTGCCATCTTTGTCCAATGTTTGTCCCATATTAGTAACTGGCTCTCCAGTAACTTTTTGGTTTTAACACCAGTAAGATGGAGGCTCTAATTATTGCTCCCAGCCACTTTGTGTCAAAAAATCAGCCAGACAATCACCTCTTTCTGCCCACTAGCAAATGTTAAAAAATCTAGGTGTCACATTTGACTTATTATCAGGCTTTGAGTCACTTTGAGTCTTTAAGCATTTACAATGCTGTAATTTACTTACTGCCTCTGAGGAAGATAATTAAGTCTTGACAGCTGCGATAACTGAGAAGGAGCTGAGTGGAGACATCTCCCTTATAAGTTTTCCCCTTAAACTAATAAAAATAATTTTCCTTAAGACAGATAGGCCTGTATGCCACGCACTCTGAATGCTCTTTTCCCTCCTTGGGAATACAGGGTGGACCATAAGTTTCCATACATCATCTCAAGGAACGTATCACCAATACCATTACGAGAATAACTTCAACTATGCTAATGTGTGTTCTTCAACAGTGGAAAACACGTATTAATATGTGTATTCAAAACAATGGTAATCATAGAGCACATTATGTAAATAAAAACGGTTGTCCAATATAAAATGTTTATTTTTTTCTATGTATGGAAACTTATGGCCCACCCTGTTGTAGAGACAGCAGCTTCATTCCAGGTTGGTGGCACCTTTTAGTCTGAGGGCAGCATTACAGGCCTTTATAAGGCAAGGAAACAGCTCAGCTGTCTGGGTCCAGAGACTTGTGTGCCCTCAACCTGGTTAGGTATGTAACCCAAATGGGTTACATACCTAACCCTTTTGGGAATGGGTTAGATATGTAAAGTCTCTGTAGCCAGATTTTGCAGAGATGTTGTATTAATCAGCCTATTTGTCCTTTATTTTTGTGTGGGTGTTCTGGTTTGTTTCTCTCTCTCCACATATCCTAAATAATACACACATATATACTGGTATGGACTTTTGTTTCTTTTCTCTCTTTCCCTTACCATTCTTAGTTGGTATAGCTTGCTCATATAAATAAGAAAAACATGATGCAAATGATCAAAGGATATTTCTGCTCTTTAAGTTGTAACTCTGTATTGACTGAACAAATAAAGATAAATAAACGATATCGTTTCCTTCACATTCCCGAAAATGTGACTGCAGATTGTTGACGAATTAACCACTTTAATGGTCAACGGTCAAAGTACGCAGCCAGGTGTTTATGGCCTTTACAGTAACTGATCCTGCAATCTTACATCACTGTGGAGATAAACATGTTCATAATTTTCCAACCAGCCAACAGGAGGAATTTACCTTCACTTGGATGACTGGGGTTTTGTACGGGGCGATGCTGAACACAGAGGCTTCATAATCGTCTGAGGAGAACGCTGGAGGCTCGTTTACATCCTCCACCTGAATTCTGACCTGAGAGACAAAAACGTCCATTTGGTTTGTATGAAAGCAACAATAAATAAAGACAATAATAAAGAGAGTTTGTGATGACAGCTATGTGATGTTGTTTTTACCGGCGCCACTGCTGATGTGGGAGGCGTCCGCGTGTCCACAGCCTCCACATCCAGGAAGTACCACTCCTGCTCCTCCTTGTCCAGCTCTTTTGTGGAAACGATGGAGCCATTGCTGTGGATGGAGAACAGGTCTTTGTGTGTTCTCAGTTCGTAGGAAACCTCGTACAGGTCGCTTCCTGCAGAGGCCTGGACCTGCCCCACGAAGGCCCCCGAATTCTGGTTCTCTTTTAGTTTGAAGTTGTAAGAGGAGCTCAGGAACACCACCCTGTCCACCAGACTGGCATTCCTGATGTTCACCACAACACGAGCTGCAGGATGGAACCACAGATACCGTCATTCTGTCTTGTAATAGACATGTTGCATGTTGTTTACCTTCAGAAATTTTGAAGATGACCACAACATTAGAGGGCAAAAAGATGATTCTTTTACTTGCCATTCAGAGCAAAAGTCTCAATATCCTACAATGGACATCAGAATTCATACATTTCTCTGTCTTGAACTTTGAGATTATTGGACCTGTACAGTAAAGTCACAAATTATCAAAGCATATTTGGATTTAAAGTGACAGGAGACCATAAAATCATTCTGATAGGAGCTCAAAATAGGCAGAACTGATCTGACGGCTTCAGCAGGTTTACATATTTAGATTTAGATGTCAGAATATAGACAGTCAGTGTCATGGTCTGTCAAACAGTGTTTAGCGTCAAATACAAAAAAAGTACATAATATTTTCTCTGTTAATGCAATGGAAATAAAGAAGCTGTGAAGTTTATAGTCTTGGGTGTATCTACGTAAATACACTTCTCCTCACTGGTCTAATTAATAATAATACAATAATGAATAAACAATAACTCTCCCCCACTCTTCACGGGATCTTAGAAAATACATCAGAATCGTTTTTTTTCCTCCATGTCCCCTTATGGGCTCCTCAAGTTATTGACTTAAAACAAGTTTGTGTTTGTTTATTTTTGCAGTAAAACAACATTGTTACGACCCTTTACCTCTAGAGCAATGGTTCTTAACCTGGGTTCGATCAAACCCCAGGGGTTCGGCGGAGCCTCTGCCGCGGAGGTAAAGACACACTGTGTAAAGTCGTGATGACGCCCTGCTTTGCCATCACTTTCTGCAGAGGATCACGTTACATTGCTGAGCCAATCAGAGCTGCGGAGGAGCACTGATTGAAGGAGCTCCACTCTCAACATGGATTTGAACTTGTGTCTTTAATTACTTCAGCAAAGCTCACAGTTTTTACCAAATTCTGTAGCTTTCGGTGTACTTCTAAATCTGCTCCTTAGTCCCATCTTTTCGGGGTTGGTACTGCCTCTAGTGGCGTGGGGGTGGTAACACAACTAATATAATTACATTACTAAATCAGAATACCGCAAAGTATTTTGTGTGGGGGAGGGGGGAATAAGAAGGGTTCGGTGAATGCCCGTATGAAACTGGGGGGTTCGGTACCTCAAAAAAAGTTAAGAACCACTGCTCTAGAGGCTATGCAGTTTCTCTCTCTTTGTTTATGCAGATTCAGGTGTTGGAGCACATTCAGCTGATTGGCTGCTTGGAGACTGCTGAATGGCATTTCCTTTCTCCAAACCCATTGGTCCAGCAGAAGACCAGGAAGCCAATCAGGTGATAAGGCTCATGCACCTGCAATCTATCAAAAGCTCCTGGAATCATTCCTTCTTTCAGCTTCAGGAAGAGGTTTTGTACAGCTGACCCCCACTTTGTTTGTTGTAGCATTTTTAAAAACCATTTTGTCCATCTTTTGCTTTTCTGAACCCTTTTGCTCTGCTTTCCAGTTTGGTTTCAGATCTGGTTGTTTAATCTAGGAGCTTGTACTTGTGGAAGATTGATATCCTTTTAGTTTTCCTTTTTGGGTTGTTTTGATTAGACTGACTTGTTTGGTTATTAGTGGGTCAAGGTGCACTTGACCCACTAATAAAGTGGGTCAAGTGCACCTTAAATTACCATGTGTATAAAAGTTTAAATGTTTTTAGCTGAGCTGAAAGTGTTAATGCACAAGACAGAATCCATGGATGGGGTAGATATGACTCCAACAGTTGAGAGTAACTTATTTTGAGGGTCATTTGTTGGAAAATGTAATTAAAAGGTAATTATTATGGTTTTATGGATCTGATGGACATGATACGTAACGTTTTTATTCTAAATGCTTATGAACTCTCGACAAATTAACCTCAATCCACACTCATGGTTACATGTTTTCTGCTGCTGAACAGGAAAATGTCTCTCCAGAGTTAGGATTTCTTGTCTTTGGTATAAAAACATTATATTGTCTCCTGTTGTCCTCTGAACTTTATTCAAAATTTTAATTTTCAAGTAGGGTTCAGAGGCATCCATAATCAAATATTATATTATGGAGCTCCAATCTTGACATTTTATTTAAGAAAAAACATTAACAGACTGTTTAAATGATCTGACAGCAGATGACAATTTAATGCAATTTCAGATTTAAGTTGTTGCCTTTCTCACTTCTTGTAGCATCAGGCTGTACAAGAAGTACAGATTCAGTTTCAGCAGTCTTCTTGCTTTATATCCATAATGTTGCTGCAGCCAGTTTTGCCCATTTACCTACGATAAAAATTTATGTTCTTTGCTGGTTTAAAGTTACTGCTGGACTAAGCTGCTATATTGTTGGTGCACCATGAGGCGGGGATAAAGTTCAGGATGTCTGCAGCTTCAGGACCTTTGCAGTTACAGCATTAATGCATAAATGCATAAGAAAAACAAAGCAATATTCTGACCTGTGGTGCTGTGTGGAGGTTTGCCATGATCTGTGGCCTCAGCCGTCAGAACCAGTGTGGTGTCTTCTGTTACATCAGTAAGGTCAGATGTCAGCGTCACTTCTCCTGTTTCACTGTCTAAGGCCAAATATGGCGAATGTCCTTCAGAGAAACTGAAACCAGAAATAAAGATTTAAGTGAAAGAATATTTTTAATGAGTTGGTGTGTTTGATTGAAATACAAAGTTATTCACAACTTTAGTTTTTCCATATTTTCATGAACACAAAGTATTACATAGCTGTTGAATGGATGGCAAACAACATGTTTTTGTACATTTTTTTTTACATAAAACCTATAAAAATGCAAAAATGCATTTTGTACTTATTAAGGAGACACTTTGGAGAACCACCTTTTGGAGTAGACAAGTCTTTTGTTCTACCAACTTTAACACATTGAAGTTTTTACCCAATCTTCTTTGCAAAATATCTCCTGCACCATCAGATTGGAGAGTTTTTGTAACATCATTTGTCAGCTTTGCCAAAGATTCTCAATTTGATTTTACAAAGCATGCCTCCATTTTTTTCAAATTTTTTTCCTTTGTGAAAAACAAAAAAGATCATGTTATATCAACTTCGTCCTATTTTGTGTTCGTCTGTTACTATAAATCTCTGTAAACTGCAGTTTGTGGTCGTAATGTGAGATCTGAGCGAACCTGTAGGTGATGAGCGAGTTGTTCCCGGTGTCTTTGTCGGTGGCTCTCAGCACCAGCACCGGCTTCCTCTTCTCCACGGTGCTGGTTTCATAGCTGCTGGAGCTGAACTCGGGTTTGTTGTCGTCGTCTGTGATGCTCACGCTGATGGTGGTGATGATCTAGAGCACAAGGTTTAACTTAATAAAGTGTTTTGCAAATAATTGTACTTAAAAACTTGACTTTGACTTTAGGTTGCAAATATAATATTTTAAAAATTTATATATTTTAACATTTGTAGGTTCTATTAAAGAAAAATGTATTCATTCTCTTTTGCAGAAACATTTGGTGATTTTCAAAGAAGTTGAAACTGTTTGTCTCAGTAAAAAAAGTCCTAATAATTATATAATAACATGTTTTTTATTTTATTCTGAAAGTTACATGATCATGAGCATCATGTAGTTTTTGTGCCTCTAAAGATCTTTGCTCAGCTGAACCAAAGTTGCTGACCTTTGCCCTAATCTATAAGTTACTACTTCATAACCTCAAAACACACTTTGCAATTTATGCAGAAAATGAGGCAGGACTGTTCAGCCTGGTGCTTTAGCTGCCTGTTGACAAAGATAAACAGACCCACTAAGGTTCACGTTAATACAGTCAGTATTAATTCCCAGTAAATGAATGACAAGTCAGTGACGTTTGTGATTCAAACTGCAAACCTGTAAAATTTTGTCAAGAGCTTCTGTTTTATAGTTTGTTTCAGAAACAACTCATAATGAGACAGTTTAGTGAACAATGAGGAAATTAAGTGCATGATTTCTATTCCTGGTGTAAAAAACATGCAAAAGTATCCATAAGTTAAAACAGAAACTTTTTATCTGCTCTAGTTTCCAACATGAGTCTGTGGAGCAGCTTAACAACTACAAAGAGCTTCTCTGGTGGGAAGAACGTCCATCTGTTAGCTGTGAGACTTGGATTGTTTGAATACAGTCAAATTATCCAGGGTAGAAAAAACCCTGGCAGAACTGGACACTGGCTTATTTCTTTATCTGGATTTATTTCCAATAAATCTTTGATTATTCTGNCTGAGGCAAATGTTTCCCTCAGGCTCATGAGCGCATACAGAAAAAGACCGAAGAAGAAAACTGTTCTGCGGTTGCTATGGAGATCGCCGCCTCCGTAGCTTAGCAACGGGTCGATTTACGTGACGTATCCTGCTCAATGCAAAACGACCAGGGCCATAGGACCAATGGGACCGGGTCGAAACGGGCCGGACCCTGCAGTGCGAAAAGGGCTTTACATATTCTATCAAACTCTCTCACACGCAAATCTCAGTTTCTGATTGGTCCCCAGGCAGGAAAAGGCGACACCTGAGTGGGAGCGATTCACAGAGGCAATGAATATGTTAAATAACATCGTGAGTGTGTGCATGGTTGTTTGTCCTGTTTGTCTCTGTGTTGCCCTGTGACAGACTGGTGACCTGTCCAGGGTGAATCCACCTCTCACCCAGAACATTAACTGGAGAGGCACCAGCACCTCCCAACCCCATTAAGGGACAAGGGTGGAAAGAAAATGGATGGATGGAACAAGTCTAATAATATAATTATCCTATTGTCTAACTTTACATATATTGCAGTGAGACATATGTCTGTATTTGGTAAACATTGGTACGACTGCCTCTTGAATGGTTACAGGTCTTTTTACTTTATTCTTTTATTATTATTTCTATTACTGATTGTTCTTTTATGTGATTTGGACTCTGAGTCTGCAGTTAATTAAGTCAGTCAGTGTAAAACTTATAACAGATCAGTAGCCTTCACCAAACCACCAACATTCAGTTTCAGGTTCTTACCTTTACTGTGGTTGTATCAGAAAGTCCATCAGGATCTGTGGCCTTCACCTCCATTGAGACGGTTTTTCCACCCAGATCTGCTACTGACACCACATACAGCAGACCTGAAGCCGGTTCCACGTCAAAGGAGGAGTTTCCTCCTGGAAGACTGTAGACCAGACGACTGTTGTCTCCGACATCAGGGTCTGAGGCCTGAAGGTGGGCAGGAAGAAAGAAAAGTCCTTAATGGTGCTGCAGATTATGTGTTCAGATGAGGCTTTGCTTTTTGAAAATAACAACCGTTAAGCAGGCATTAAACAAACCCAGACTTCTGTATTAAAGCCTCTTCTCCTTTGCCATCCTTGTCCAATGTTTGTCCCATATTAGTAACTGGCTCTCCAGTAACATTTTGGTTTTAAACACCAGTAAAACAGAGACTCTAATTATTGCTCCCAGCCACTTTGTGCCAAAAAATCAGCCAATCACCTCTTTCTGCCCACTAACAAAATCAAAGTTAAAAAATCTAGGTGTCACATTTGACTTATTATCAGGCTTCGAGTCACTTTGAGTCTTAAGTTAGTAATACTGGTCCATGTATTTTCAGGCAGTTAATTTTTTCGTTTGAAATGAAAAATGAGAAAACGAAAATAGACTCGTTTTTCGTTTATCAAACCCAAATCAGAAATTGGATACTGTTTCCCAGTCTTGTTTCTTTAATCTAAGAAACATTCCTACAATGACACATGTGCTCTCCAGAGTTGACCTAAGAAAATTATTCATGCTTTTGTGTCATCGTGTCTGGACGACTGTAACGTCTTTTTATCCTTGATTTCATGTTTGCAATCAATACAGAACGCTGTATTTTACTTACTGCCTCTGAGGAAGATAATTAAGTCTTAACAGCTGTGATAACTGAGAAGGAGCTGAGTGGAGAAATCTCCAGGCTGAGGGCACACAAGTCTCTGGACCCAGACAGCTGAGCTGTTTCCTTGCCTTATAAAGGCCTGCAATGCTGCCTTCACAGACTCAAAGTGGCACACAGACTCTTTGCACTCTTTCCCTCACAGACTCAGAGATGCCACCAACCTGGAATGAAGCTGCTGTCTCTACTGTTCCCAAGCAGACAAAGGGCCATTCAGAGCGCCGTGCATACAGAACTATTTCAGAGCTGAATGTCGATTAGAAGTTATTTACAACCATCCTTGCTAAGAGACTAGTGTTGCCTCAGTTATATGTGATAAGGAGCTCAATGTGTTGTGTACAGATGAGGAAGATGTGTTGACAGCGATCCTCCGGCCAGAAGGAGGCGCTGCGTGTCATAAGGTAGGACGATAGAGTAGGTTTGTATGCAGATGATATTTTGATATATGATGGCAGAAGCCAAGATGGCGCCCGTGTTTGAGGCTTGCCGCCTGACGCTCCTCCTGTTTTGCCGTTGTCTGCTGTCCCCTTTTATTTTTATTACAAGTGTAAACTCTCTGATTGTGTATGATCGCCAAACATTGCTGGGCACTGGAGCCTCGACTGGAAATATGTTATCGAGGAATTGTACTACAGACAAAACCTCGACCCTGCTGTTGGGCATTCCAGCTCACTTGTTTCGTTTCTGGACTCTACATTTCTGGTTTATTTCTCTCTCTCTCCATATATCCTAAATAATTCACACGTACATAGTGGTATGCACTTTTGTTTTGTTTTTCTTCTGTTTTTCCTGTACCATTCTTAGTTGGTTTATATCTTATTCATGTAAATAATAAAAACATGATACAAATGATCAGAGGATATTTCTACTCTTTAAGTTGTAACTCTGTATTGACTGAACAAATAAAGAATTAATAAAAATAAATATAAACGATAAGCTTCCTGAACATTCCTGATGCAGATTGTTCACATATTAACCACTTTAATGGTGGGAGGGTTTCAGGTCAAAGTACGCAGCCAGGTGTTTATGGCCTTTACAGTAAATGATCTGCAATCTTACATCAATGTGGAGATAAACAAGTTCAGAAGCACATTTTCCAACAGCTGATAGGAGGAGTTTACCTTCACTTGGATGACTGGGGTTTTGTACGATAGGAGGAGTTTACCTTCACTTGGATGACTGGGATTTTGTACGGGGCGATGCTGAACACAGAGGCTTCATAATCGTCTGAGGAGAACGCTGGAGGCTCGTTTACATCCTCCACCTGAATTCTGACCTGAGAGACAAAAAATGTCCATTTGGTTTGTATGAAAGCAACGATAAAGAGAGTTTGTGATGACAGCTGTGTGATGTTGTTGTTACCATGGCCACTGCTGAGGTAGGAGGCGTCCATGTGGTCACAGCCTCCACATCCAGGATGTACCACTCCTGCTCCTCCTTGTCCAGCTCTTTTGTGGAAACGATGGAGCCATCGCTGTCGATGGAGAACAGGTCTTTGTGTGTTCTCAGTTCGTAGGAAACGTTGTACAGGTTGCTTCCTGCGGAGGCTTGGACCTGCCCCACGAAGGCCCCCGAATTCTGGTTCTCTTTCAGGCTGAAGTTGTAGGAGGAGCTCTGGAACGCCAGACTGGCATTCATGATGTTCACCACAACACGAGCTGCAGGATGGAACCACAGATATCATTATTCCCTCTTATAATAGACATGTTGCAGTTTATGAAAAAATGTCATGGATGACCACAACATTAGAGGATAAAAAGATGATTCTTTTACTTGCCATTCAGAGCAAAAATCTCAAGATTCTGCAACAGTTTTGAAAAATCCTGAGTTCAGTGGTGAAACCAAATTATGCAACACATCATAATCTGTGATCGCAGCGTGCGACTGCATATATTTCTCTGTCTTGAACTTTGATATTATTATTATTAGATCTGCACAGTAAGGTTATTATAAGTCACATCAGGTCACATCATAAATTGTGACCTGCTACATGAGGGTCACATATTTTAGCAAATGAGAGTCGACTGTAATGAAGAGGTGGCAAAAATATTAAAAACCATTTTGAACCTCTTCCCCTGTGCAGTAAATCACTTTGAATCATTTATTACTGATTTACAAAACGGCTACAGCAGGTTTACATATTTAGACAACAAACAGTAAATGTCATGATCTGTAAAACAGTGTTTGGCATCAAAAACAAAAAAATACATAATATTTTCTCCATTAATGTGAAGGAAATAAAGAAGCCATGAAGATTACAATCTTGGATGTTCTTGATGTCTGCAGCCTAAGAACCTTTGTAATCACAGCATTAATGCATAAATACATAAGAAAAACAAAACAATATTCTGACCTGTGGTGCTGAGTGGAGGTTTGCCATGATCTGTGGCCTCGGCTGTCAGAACCAGTGTGAAGTCTTCTGTTACATC